TAAAGATGATGTGGTGTATACACACACACACACACACACACACACACACACACACACACATACTCAATGGAATATTACTCAGCAATAAAAAGGAATGAAATCTTGCCCTTTGCAACAACATGCATAGAACTAGAGTGCATTATGCTATGTGAACTAAGTCAGAGAAAGACAAATATCATATGATTTCACTCACATATGGAATTTAAGATACAAAACAGTTGAATATAAGGGAAGGGAAGCAAAAATAATATAAAAACAGAGAGGGAGATAAATCATAAGAGACTCTTAAATACAGAGAACAAACTGAGGGTTGCTGGCAGGGTGTTGGGTGGAGTTTCAAAGGGCTGAAGGGGTGAGGAGCATTAAGAAGGACACTGGATAGGATGAGCACTGGGTGTTAAATGTAAGTAATAAATCACTAAACTGTCTTCCTGAAAAAAAAATTATCTTTGAATCCTCACAGAATGTTGCTAAATATTCATTTAGCAGTTAATAAAATAGCCTCTGCCCTCACAAAGTTTATAGGCTAACAGGGAAGACACCAAAGCCACTATGATAGAAAATGTTCAAGGGTCAATAGCCCAATTATAGAAGCAACCCAAGTTTCCATCGATAGATGAATAAAGAAGAAGTGGTATACTAATGTATCTATCTATCTATCTATTTATCTATCTATCTATCTATCTAAATATTACTTGGCCATAAAAAAGAATGAAATCTTGCCATTTGCAACAACATGGGTGGATCCAGGGAGTATTATGCTAAGTGAAATAAGTCAGTTGGAGAAAGACAAGTACTATAGGATTTCACTCATATGTAAAATTTAGGAAACAAACAAAAAAAGGAGACAAATAAAAAAAACAGACTCTTAATTATAGAGAACGGAGGGGAGGTGGGTGGGGAATGGGTGAAATAGCTGAAGGGAATTAAGAGTTATCTTGATGAGCACTGGGTAATTATAGAATTGTCAAAGCACTATATTATACACTTGTAACTAATACAATGTTGTATATTTAAAAAAAAACTACAGACTTCAAGCTATACTACAAAGCTATAATCATCAAGACAGTATGGAACTGGCACAAGAACAGACACTCAGATCAATGCAATAGGATAGAGAACCCAGAAATGGATCCACAAACGTATGGGCAACTAATCTTTGACAAAGCAGGAAAGAATATCCAATGGAATAAAGACAGTCTCTTCAGCAAATGGGGCTGGGAAAACTGGACAGTGACATGCAGAAGAATGAACCTGGACCACTTTCTGACACCATACACAAAAATAAACTCAAAATGGATGAAAGACCTCAATGTAAGACAGGAAGTCATCAAAATCCTCAAGGAGAAAGCAGGCAAAAACCTCTTTGACCTTGCCCGCAGCAATTTCTTACTCAACACGTTTCTGGAGGCAGGGGAAACAAAAGCAAAAATGAACTACTGGGACCTCATCAAAATAAAAAGCTTCTGCACAGTGAAGGAAACAATCAGCAAAACTAAAAGGCAACTGACAGAATAGGAGAAGATATTTGCAAATGACATATCAGATAAAGGGTTAGTATCCAAAATCTACAAAGAACTTATCAAACTCAACACCCAAAAAACAAATAATCCAGTGAAGAAATGGGCAAAAGACATGAATAGACACTTTTCTAAAGAAGACATCCAGATGGCCAACCAACACGTGAAAAAATGCTTAACATCACTCATTATCAGGGAAATACAAATCAAAACCACATGGAGATACCACCTTACACCTGTCAGAATGGCTAACATTAACAACTCAGGCAACAACAGATGTTGGCAAGGATGCAGAGAGAGAGGATCTCTTTTGCATTGTTCGTGGGAATGCAAGCTGGTGCAGCCACTCTGGAAAACAGTATGGAGGTTCCTCAAAAAACTAAAAATAGAACTACCCTATGACCCAGCCATTGCACTACTAGGCATTTACCCAAGGAATACAGGTGTGCTGTTTCAAAGGGACACATGCACCCCCATGTTTATAGCAGCACTATCAACAATAGCCAAAGTATGGAAAAAGCCCCAATGTCCATCAATGGACGAATGGATAAGGAAGCTGTGGTATGTATATACAATGGAATATTGCTCGGCAATCAAAAAGAATGAAATCTTGCCATTTGCAACTACGTGGATGGAACTAGAGGGTATTACGCTAAGTGAAATTAGTGAGTCAGAGAAAGACAAAAATCATATGACTTCACTCATATGAGGACTTTAAGAGACAAAACAGATGAACATAAAGGAAGGGAAACAAAAATAATATAAAAACAAGGAGGGGGACAAAACAAAAGAGACTCATAAATATGGAGAACAGAGGGTTGCTGGAGGGGGTGTGGGAGGGGGGATGGGCTAAATGGGTAAGGGGCATTAAGGAACCTACTGAAATCATTGCTTCACTATATACTAACTAATTTGGATGTAAATTTTAAAAAATAAAGTTAAAAAATAAAAATAAAAATAAAATAAAATTAATTTTATGTCGGGGCACCTGAGTGACTCAGTCAATTGAGCATCCAACTTTAGCTCAGGTGATGATTTCACGGTTTGTGAGTTCGAACCCCACATGGGGCTCACTACTGTCAGAGCAGAGCCTGCTTTGGAACCTCCCTCCCCCCTTCTCTCTCTGTCCTTCTCCCAATCATGCTTTCTCTCTCTCAAAAATGAATAAACATTTTTTTAAAAAAAACTAGAACTCTTAGGAAATATGTCTACATATTTTATAAAATTCTTTTTTTATGTTTATTTTTGAGAGAGAAAGATACAGAATGTGAATAGGGGAGGGGCAGAGAGATGGGGAGACACAGAATCTGAGCTGTCAGCATAGAGCCTGATGCAGGGCTTGAACCCACAAACCACAAGATCATGACCTGAGCTGAAGTCACTTAACCTACTGAGCCACCCAGGCACCACTAAAATTCTTTTTTTTTTTCTTTAACATTTATTTATTATTGAGAGACAGAGAGACAGAGCATGAGAAGGGGAGGGGTAGAGAGAGGGGGAGACACAGAATCTGAAGTAGGCTTCAGATCTGTGCTGACTGCTCAGAGCCTGATGCAGAGCTCGAACTCACAAACTGCGAGATCATGACCTGAGCCGAAGTCGGTCACTTAACCGACTGAGTCACCCAGGTGCCCCCTAAAATTCTTATTACAATAAATGTTTTATTAAAGAACAGAAATACTGATTACATCATAAAATATATCAAAAGAAAAAGAATGTTCAAGGTTCAGTGGAGAATAAAGATATGAGAGAAATCTTCATAGAAGTGACTCCACTTGAATATTTTAAAAATGTCTAGCAAAAGGTGAACGAAGATACAAAAGTGCGAAGGATGTAGCAGAGACCACTAGAATTCCACCAGAATTCTTTCTTGCCTATTTGGGCACACAGCTAGATTACATTTCTTAGTCTCACTTGAAGTTAAACATGGTCATATGAGCAAGATTTCACCAATACAATAAGAGTGAAAGTAATGTGTACCACTTCTAAGCCTAGCTAACAAAATCCTGTGTGTATATATGTATATATATGTGTGTATATGTGTGTGTGCATATATATATATATATATATATATGCCACAAGAAAAAAGGAATCCAGATCTTTGAATAACTGCAAGGTGGAAAACTGGATAACTGCCCCATGAACCTCAACACCTACCAAGAAATCATCTTATAGGGGTGCTTGGCTGGCTCAGTCGGTAGACCATGCAACTCTCAATCTCAGGGTCATTAGTTCAAGCCCCATACTGGGTATGGAACCTACTTTTAAAAAAAGGAAGGAAGGAAGGAAGGAAGGAAGGAAGGAAGGAAGGAAGGAAGGGAGGGAGGGAGGGAAGGAAGGAAGAAATCGTCTTACATACCATGCTAAGAGGCTTGGACTTTCCCACTGACATTGTAAGCCCCAAAACAATCAGATGTATCTTTTAGAAGGGTCACAGGGTGGCAATGTGGAGGAAGAAATGGTGAGAGGAAAGGGCAAGAAGACTGATTATAAAACTGGTTACAGCAACTTAGGTGAGAGATGGTGGGAGCCTGGGCTTACCAGGAGCAATAGGTATGGAGAAGAAAAGAACTTGTTATGAGATATACTAAGGAATTACATAGGACGCTGTGATTAACTGCATGTTGGGATAAAGAAAAAGGAATATAGAATGATTTGGTGGTGGAACACTTAACCAAAGCTATGATCATAGAGGGAAATGGAGAGACTCAGAAGCTGGGGATAGCTATCCATTTCTGAGTCACCCACACTAGGATGATAGTTGGAGCCTTGAAAAGTAATCTTGAAGCTCACCCACATTTGAGGGTTGAGTCAAAAAAGAGTCTATAAAGGGATCTGAAAAGCAACAGCCTGAGAGCTGAGACATAGTGCCAAAGGAGGAAATATAGGAGCCATCACCAGTGTTCCATGCTGAAGAAAGGCCAAACAAATAACTAGAAAGATCCCATGGGTGCATAATGCAGAAGTCCTTAGTGACCTTTCACAGAGGGAAAGAATGGAAGCAGAAACCTCACCACAGACAAGAGAAGGCAGAAAGCATAGACATAGCTTTGTCAAAGACCCAGACTACACACAGAGGAGAATGATAGGACAATGTCTGGGTGGGGGGGCAGGGCCATGGGAGGATCATTGTTATTAGAGAGGAAGAGTTTGAAAATATGGGACAAAGAAAAGGAATTACAGAAGCTGTACTTTTCCTATTTGAAAGGAGATGGAGAGGACATGAAGTCGACAATGTACTGGAAGAACCAACTTTGAAAAGAAGAAATACCTCATTCCTTGGGACTATGGAAATGAAGTGATCAGGAATGTAAATAAAGGAAAGATTATAGTCTGTGTATCAGATTTATAGAGGCTTACTAGCAGCTTTAAGCTCAGGAAAGAAGTTTAAGCATTTTTCATTTGTTTGCTCATTAATCATCATAACAACCCTATGAGCTAGGTACTATTATTATCCTCATTTTACAGCTGAGGTAATTTTACAGGAGAGCCAGAAACCCGAAGGAACTTCTATTTACTCGTTGACATACAAGGCATGTACAGCTACTGGAAGATGGGAGCAAGGAATGACAGGGGCTGTGGCTGAGGTAAGTCAGTGTTTCTCAAACTCGACACTATTGATATTCGGGACCAGATCATCTTTTGTTGTCCTGTGCATTATAGGATATTTAGCAACATCCCTGGACTTCATTCACTAGATGCTAGTATCACACACACACACACACACACACACACACACACACACACACATCCCCCACTGTCATGACCATCAGAAAAGTAAAAATTGCCTGATGTCCTTGAGGGGCAAAATCACTTCTAGTTGAGAACCACTGGGATAAATTGAATGAAGATAGAGCTGACACTGGTCAGTCTGACAAAACAGAGGACCCAGATCTTCATTGAGAAGGGAAATAGAATATTAAGATTCTGGGTCTATATTAGAAGAAAAGCATAATGTCATGAGTTTCTTTTCTGGATAATGCAAAGTGAATGCAGCAAAAAGCCTTGGACACAGAGAACGCAGTGAAATCAATACAATAGGTATATATAATCAAAACCATCATCTGTGGTTGGGTAAGCCCCAGGGAACAAATCATCAATTTCTATGACAAAATGTGACATAGCATAATCAAGGGTATGTAGTTATCCCCTCATTTCTCTGGCATGCATTTTATAAACCCCGAGGATTATGGACTTAAGAATAAATGTTACCGTCCTGATTGTATGTTTTTCTGGACTCCATGTTGTGTGACCTCACATCCATTATTCAATTCAAGCCTACCAGATGGAAACTTATTAAATATTGTCATTTCCTCTTACTGAATTTAATTAAGCCTCCTTACAAGAAAAAGGTTTCTACAAAACCTGGTGTCCCCTTCCCCTTTTCAAATGCATGTGCACACATATTCTTATGCTGCTGCTCATTGTGTCTTAGAGAAGCTTAAATTAAAGCAGCTTTTTTTTTTTTTAACTCTAGTTGGTCAACTGGTTAAATGTACAGCTGTGGAAGTGAGGCTTCTTTGAAAACACAGCAATCAGTATGGATACTGTCATTTGTTAAGCTTAATGATAAGTCCACACTCTAGTGAATGGTATATTGTTGTAGATTCTTCGGTATAGATTCTTTGGTAGTGCTAGAGTAAACTGAAAATACATGGTTGTAATTCATGTGTTAGTATCAGAACATCTCCAGCTACAGCCTGCAGAGGAGCCAGTGCACACCCAGGAATGTCCCAGAAGGGCATGATGCAGCCCTGAGGCAGGGGCATTCTGGAGCAAATTGCCCTGCAGGCTGCATAGCTCAACCTATGGGGTGCCCTTGTAGGATGAGCCATCACAGGCCATCAAGGCAGATCCTTAGAGTTCCCAAAAGCTAACCAGATTTGAACACACGCCATCAGCATTTGGCTCAATGAGGGTTTTTGGTTAACGTTGCGATGATGCAAGCAGGCCTTTTAAGAGTTTTGATGGCTTGTCCCCCACTTAGGCAAGATGGTAAAGTCTTCAATATGTTTTACCATGGCAGGTAATTATTAGGACAAACTTGTGACAAGTGTTCCAACAGCTGGGCAGTTTTAAGCAAAGCAGCTCACACAGAAAGAATTTCTGAGCCCAGAGAGGAGTTCGGGAAGGGGTGAGGGGGTCTTCTCCGTCCCCACCCCCAGTCCCAGCCCCACCGACACCTCCTAATGGCTCCAGAAGACCTGCAGCCCTGTACAATATGTGGCCTGAACGCATCACGGCCCACCTCCTCGTCCTGGCCCACAGGGATGCCCATAGCTTCCAGTTCTTTTTGCAGTTCTGTGATGTCCACCATCCCGTCCCCGTGATGGTTCAGTTTGTGGAAGAGCTCTTCAAAAAGGCGGTCGGATTCCTCCTCCTGGCCAGCCACGGTGGGCAACAGGAAGCCCCGTACTCGGCGCAGCATGCTGACACAGCGCTAAGGGTACCCTGAAAAGTGGGAAAGCCCCACCCTCAGGCTGAGCTGCCACCGGTACCGGCGTCAGGGAGCCTCAGAGGCAGCGCGCAGCAACGGACCCTGGAACGTGTGGGCTCCCAAGTCTCTGGGTTTGGAGCAAGTGGGCCAGGATGGTTCCCGCCTGTCCGGCAACAGCCCTGGTTCTGGATTTGATTTTGCCAGTCTTGGCTGGGGGAAAGCAGCTTCGGCCCGCCCCCCCCCCCCCCCCCCCCGATTAATGTTTGGCCAGGGATTCCCAGACAGTATTTTTGTTTTATGTTTTATCTGTTTTTGAGAGAGACCAAGAGAGAGCCCGAGCAGGGGAGGAGCAGAGAGAGAGAGAAAGAGAGAATGGAAAGGGGGCTCTGTGCTGACAGCAGGGAGCCCCATGTGGGTCTCTAACCCAGGAACCATGAGATCATAACCTGAACTGAAGTGGGTTGCTTAACGTACTGAGCCACCCAGGTGTCCCCCCAGACAGCATATTCTCAATTCAAACTCCAAACTGAGTGAGGGTAGTCCCATGGTTATGAGTTTTCAGAGGAGGTTTTTTTTGTTGGTGGTGTTTTTGGTTTTTTGTTTGTTTTTCAGTTTTGTGCTCAGAGCCAAGGTTGACACAGATCCATGGGGCCATCCTGGGCCAATTCTCTCTCCCTTTTATTAGACCAAGACTTCATCTGTCATTCCCATAGGCTAGTTGAAATCCAAACCTTAGTAACCAAGGGAGTAAATGTTAAGACTTCTTTTTATATTTATAAAAGTTAAAGAGGAAAATAGGCTTTCTAATATTTAGCATGAACTGACAACTGCACATATGTAATATTTAAATAAATGTACACAAATCATGGGTGGATAAACAAATTTGGAGCCCATTGCTCTTGTGTAATGGGAGTGATCACCTGGTCAGTGGTCAATTTGATAAGAAATTCAGGAGTCTGGGGGTGCCCAGGTGTCTCAGTTGGCTAAACATCTGACTCTTGATTTGGGCTCAGGTCATGATCTCACAGTTCATGCATGAGTTTAGAGCCCCACATTGGGCTCTGTGTTAACAGTGCAGAGCCTACTTGAGATTCTCTCTCTTTTCCCCTCTCTCTGACTCTCCCCCACTTACTCTCTCTCTCAAAATAAATAAATAAACTTTAAAAAGAAAAAAAGAAAGAAATTCAGGAGTCTGCAATCAGCACCTGCCAATGAGAGCCATCAGAAGCACTGCTCAAGTCAAGAGAACAGACCAGCCACAGCAGTGGAGCAATAGAGACCAGCACTGCATACATAGATGAAGGGCCAGCTAATACCAACCAGCATGCTCTAAGGAGCTGCACAGGAAGTTTGACCCTTAGCCCCAATGTCACAGAAGTCACAAGTAAACCACATTATGATTTCAGACATCCAGATTCTCTCCTAGGGAGAAAATTAGTGAACAAACACATTTTATCTAAAAGAAAGTAAATGCTATATAAAAGGGTTTAATCAGTTACCAGACAAACTAAGCATTAAAACAAATTAGATATTTGCTTAACTTTATTATTATTATTATTGTTATTATTATTATGCAGCAGGTGGGACTCAGGATAAAGACCGGCAAAACCAGGTTAGGCAAAGTTCATATTATGCACATATCTGAATTTTAGTATGAGCTGAAATTTAGGGAGACTTTAACTCATTAATATTATTTTGGATCCATGCTTTTAAGTCCTCTCTGTGTGAACTGATACTGCTGATTGTTTCCTTATAATCTCTATTGATGTTGGGTCAACAAGACAAGGTGAAAGTCAAAACCTAAGGATGGCAGAGCAGAAGGATGGAAAGGGCCCAAGTTCTTGATTGCATCACTGAGCCAGTGAACCAACTCTGGAAACCAGTTTCCACTGGACCTGTTTGGACAGGCAACAAATTCAACCTCTGTTATTTAAGCCACTTTCTTCTGGGTATTCTGTCACAGCTGAAAGCATAGCTCATAGAAAATCATAACTCACAAAATAATTACAAACTGAGATGAATCCAATTTTCCTTCATTATGCTCACCTCAGTTTGTAATTATTCTAGGAAGATGTAACAGGAGCCATAATATATTGGGTAATGAAGGAAGGCTTCCTGAAGTTTAGGTGATATTTAAGCTAAGGCTTGAAAGATAAGTAGAGGTTGGCCTGTGAAGAGTAACGAAAATAGCATTTTTTGTATCTTTAACATTCCTGAGAAGAAAAGAACTTGGGAAGTTCAAGGAACTAAAAGAAGGTCACTGTCACTGGACAATAATGAACAACAGAAAGAATGGCCCAAACTGAGATTAAAAACACAGGCTCAATTGAAGATACTGGCTTTTATCCCAAAAACAATATAGAGTTGTATCAGCCAGGACAAACCAGGTTATGCTGTGATAACAAACAACTCCAGAATCTCGGTGACCTACAGGGTGAATATCTCATTTGTTTTTTTTTTTTTTTTTTTTTGGTTTTTTTTTTTTTTTTTGGTTTTTTTTAATATCTCATTTGTACATATACCCATTATAGGTCAGCAATAGGTTCTGCTCCTGAGATGTCATTGTCCCTACCCTGGGACTGAGGCAGCCACTTCCTGGAACATCATTGGTAGCCATGGCAAAGGGAAAAAAAGAGCATGGAAGGGCAGGCTGTGGATCTTAAAAACTCTGCCTGTAGGTGACATATTTCATTTCTTTTTATATTTTATTGGCCAAAACAAGTGACATGCTCTCCTGACTTCAATTCCTCCTTCACCTCCTTTGGTGAAAAATATTACAGCCTACACCAGGAGGCATTTATGCATTTTTAGCAGCAGAATAACATGGCTTAATGCACAGTGTAAAGATCCTGCTAGCTATTGCGTGGAGAATGGGGGGAAAAGGCAGGAGCCAGTGCAGTGAGATCGGTTAGGAGATTCTCAGAGTAGTCAGCTTGAACTAGAGTGGTGGCAGTGGAGGGGAAGAGAATCAGACAGATCGTGATATATTTTAGAGATAGAATTGAAAGAATTTTATGAAGGATTAGGTGAAAGATATGAGGAAGAAAATGATACCTGTTATAGACTAAATGTTTATGTCCTCCCAAAATTACCTATGTTGAAATCCTAACCCCCAAGGTGAAGGTATTAGAAGGTGAAGCTTTGGGGAGG